TCGTTATTTTTCCTTGTCAAATGTAATTGTTAAAAGCCAATATTTATATGAACAACATCTAAAACTTCATCATTCCTGATATTGTATCTATAGATGAAAATATTCTCCTTGAATTGATAATTTCAAGGTAAATGAAGATTATTCTCTTGTCTTTTCTATTGTGCAGTTTTTGAAACATTTCTATGGCCTTCAAAAAATTTTGAATACTAATTGCTTTAACAAATGATTTCTCATACCGTGTGTTTGATAAAATGTGTAAGAGGAAAACTACGTAACAACATAAATTCATGCTCAATATAAGCATGTCCATTTGTAGTGCCTCTTTATCACATAATCAAATAATCTCGTATGCTTGAAGTATTTTTGCACATTTATTCAACATCAATTAATGGCCTGTGCTACTTTTGAAAACTTTAGCATTATCTTAATTGCAATAGTTTGATTACTTTTTGTAAAAAAAAATTTCAAGGAGTAGGAAGCATAACATAAACAAATATGATAGCCTTGAAGTTTTTGTAACTTTTTCTTGTTATTGCTTATAATGTTCATTGCAATTTTTGTATTTTGCAAATTTATTTTGAAAAAATATATGCAATAAGTTTGATACATTTAAAAAAAAATTACAGAGAGCAATAATAGCAAGGTCAATAATGGTAAAATTTATTTTAAATAATTATAAGGAAATTATCAAAGTTATGCAATTTTCTTGTGCCTCTATAATAAAATAGTTTAAATTTTTAATTTTTATTGGAAACTATAAACTAGATTAAAGGTTTCCTTTCTTGTTATCCTACATGGCAATCAGGGTAATTAGGTGGCAACAATAACATCGATTTGGGAATAAATTTGAAAGTGAATCACATTGAGAATATTTTTTTAAAAAGAAGTGTTATTTTTGGCAAAAAAGTCCCACCCGCATGGTGTCTTTCTTTTATGGTTATATGTAACTTAGTTGAGAATAAACTCTCCTGCCCTCGAAAATCCTGTCTCATCTTGTGTGGTTGTCCACTAAATATATTTTTACTAAATGATTCTTTAGTTAATGAGTGTTGCTTTCGTATTCTAGTATCCGAGCTCATGAATTTTAGTTCAAACTAGACTTTATGTTCGCAAGAAATATGTAAAAATGGAGGTACACTTGTAACTCCTTCTTGTTTGAATATTAATGTGTGCGTTTATGCTGATTTTTTATTGTGAATTGTCTTGTTCTAAGATATTTTTATTTGCATGTTACTTTTTTTTGTATTAGTTGTGAAGTTCTTTAATAAGTTTCATATATATTTAGTAGTGGTAGACTGAAACTTAGTGAAGCATTATTCTATGTGTTGGTCATATAAGATTGGCATAGCTTTTGAAAAGTAAATCAAGAAAAGGATAAAAATAAATTAGCCTTGAAATTCATGTCGATTATCAACGTACAATTCAAATTAGATAAGTTCCAATCTTTTAAAGAAAAGGATTATTAATACTATCACTTTACTTTAAATTGATATTTGACAGGACGTGAATAAAAACTTGTTCATATAGATTTTTTTTAACTGTAGTTAACTAGCCTTATTTCTTTTTTAATTCAAAGTTGAATTCAAGAAAATTCAGCCAATCATTTAATGCTTGGTACTACTGGTTCATTAAAGCTGCATTTGGATTGAGAAATTTAACAAAGGATTTGAAATCCTCTAAAATCTCTCTAGTTGTTTAGATTAATTAAAAGGTATTTGGATTTGTAAATCACTAATTATTTTGTTTAAAACGTAGTTATGTAATTGATGAATTACAAATTGTACGCGATAAAATTTCAAATCTGCAAAAAAACAAGAAATATACACGACAAATGTATAATATAAATTTAAGAAAATGTGTGAGTACAATCTCTGGGATTTTCTCGGATTTGTAGAGAGTTCCCTCGATTCTCCTCCTCAAACGCTAATCCAGGGGCTTTGCAGCTTGCTCTTGGATCCACCACCGGCTCCTTCAAATCTTGAGATGGAAGATTCGAAGAACTTGAAAGATATTTTGAAGACTCAAGTCTTGATATATGGGAGACTCGAAGAGCTTGAAAACCCGGGCCTTTCGTGGCTTGGAGATTCAATACTTGAGCGTACGAGATGCCTTTGGATGTCTCGTGTGTCTTTAATTTGGTTGAAAGATCCCTATTAATAGTTGTAGCAAGATGTAGAGGTTGAAAACCTGTGTACTACTTTACTTGTCTTGCAAGATGTGCAGTCATATTAGGACTGTACCAGTCAAATATTATCTCTTCATTTTATATTTATTAATAAAGAGATAAGTAATTCCTCGATTGGCCAAACTTGTGGGGGCACGTGACGTGGCGCCATTTGACTGGCCAAATTATTGCAGCGTATAAGAAATATACTTGGATTAAACAACTCTAATTATTATCCCTTTAATAAGAAATAAATATTTAGATATCATATATATATATAATAAAGTCGTATTCTCATACTTATCCCTTCATATTTTCTCTTTCCTACGTGGCTTAACGAGACGGCAAGTAGTTTCCTACGTGGCTTGCTCCTTTTTTGTTTGGATATATATCAATTCTTATTTCCTATAAAAATTCTTAATATTGTATGATTCTTATTTCCTACCCAAAAAAGAAACTGGAAAGTAATGCGATATAAATAAAAGAAACATAAATCTCCTCTATTAGATATATAGGAATAATGATAATATATATATTTTTTATAGTGTCCTATTCTTTTTTTTTTAACAGTTTCATCATAGATCCTTTTTATTTTAAGATAATCTATCCATATATAGAACAATATACAAACAATCTAGACATGAAAATTAAAGAAAGTTAGCTCGAGAAAGTTTTTACAAGACTCATAGTCCCCATGCATAATTGATGTACAAAGAGAAATGGCACTTCATCTGATTGAAAATTTCTGGAAAAGTCCATATAGAAAATGGAGTGTCATCAACCAAAGAAATAAAATCCCATTATCATAACTAAAGAAAGATGAGATAAAACATTAGATATTTGTTGAAGTTTTGCACCCCGAAGGCCCCTACCTGACCCTCTGTCCGTAGTGTCCTCCAATCCAAGAGAAAGGCCTCCGTCCGTAGTATCCATAGTGTCCTCCGCCCGTCTTTTTTTTAATATATTTCTGCTAATAATTCCTTAATCACAATATATCTCTGCCCAGATGGTGGGCAATATTTCGTGTGTGGACTCACATCATAGGAGTCCATGTACTTAAAGGACTCAATATGGAGGTGGTCTTTTAAGATTGGTAAAATCTATCTTGATAACGTATTTGTAAATTTATTACGTACAGGTTTATATACGTGCATAGTACGGGTCACATAAGATCTTATTTCCTACCCAAAGTTATTTGGACGATTATGGTTTTATTTCCTATAAGAATTCTTAATATTATAGGATTCTTATTTCCTACCTAAAGTTACGTACTTTAAGCAACTTAAATTAAGATAAACATACTTTTAATGTTCTTATAAATATCTCTTTGTAACCTTATCAATTCTTACTTCCTATGCTTACACTACATATAGCCTCTAATATATTGATTTCAAACATCAAATTCATGGTTAGGTATTTCCAGTGCAAACGGTTGGCATATTAAAGTATCGATTTTGGATTTCCACTCTTCTTGATTATCAGGTACATCTTCTTTCAATATATATATATATATATATATTTATTTATTTATTTAAAAAATGCATGTTGATCTTCAATTGTAAGAGCTTACTAACATATCTTGAATTTTAATTTTTTATTTTAATTTTCTATTTGTTTTGTATGAAGACATAGGATTTAAACAAGTACTTTCATCGTTATTTTTGTAGGATTTTTTCTATCATATTTGTTAATTGATTTTTGTGATCATATACTATGATGTTTGTTAATTTGCCTTCAGGAAAAACAACAAAAAACAAAAGGCACTGGAAAGCAATGCGATATAAATATAAGAGACATAAATATCTCTATTAGATATATCTGCAAATTCATTAGTTAATTAAAAGACTCGGGCGTTTACTTAATTATAATCGTATTGTTATACACAACCTTGAATGCATCCGGTTTCATTTTTTTTTATTTGAACATTGTGACTCATTTACGCGCGTTAGTATGTTTCGGCACGTCTTAGATCGATGTGAACTGAACCGTTAGTACTGGCGAGAGCTGGGCAGGCAGTCCGCTAGCCCCTTTGGTTCGCCTTAGAGGAAGATGGGACTGTCACAGGTGGTATCAGAACCTAAGTTTGAATTGACCTGGATGTATTAGAAATACTTGATTTGAGGATTCTTTTGATTACGTCATTTAAGATTATTTATGTTTATTTACTCTTTTGATGTAGGATGGACGGTCATGGTGAGCCTAGTAGTCCCCCGCCTGGAGAGCGACCTCGTGGAGCGCTCCCAGTGATCACATACCAGATTCGGCCAGGAGGAGCCGTTGTTCGTTGGAGCCCGACTAACCGCCTCTGACGTTGCGAGTGTCGACACACGTATGCCTATCCTAACGCATTAGTATTGGTCGTGGCGGAGGAGCGTAAGGAATTAGCTCGAGATAACGCTAGGTTGGAGGCCGAGGTGACCCAGCTTAGGGCGGCCAATGAGAAACAGGCCGAGCGCATTAAAGGGCTAGAGTACGATGTGCTTGAGGTTGAGGATCGGGTGGATGACCTGTGCACCCAACTTAGGGAAACCCGTGAGCGCGAGACTAAGCGAGCGCGAAAGGTTAAGGTTCGAGCTGCCTCGATCCTGAACCTATGCGCGGACGTGGTCGAGGGCGTGAGTGACGAGGATTCATGTGCAGGGCCTGAGGCTGGGGTTGGATCCACCCCGTTGGGTGGATCTACTAGCCCGTCGACGGACTAGGTCTCGACTCCTAGGGTTTTGGGATAGTTTTGTTTCTTGTATATAGGGATAGGGAAAATTACGGGTTCTCACAAATGAGATTCATTTTACATAACCAAAACTTTCATGAGGATCCACTATGCATTATAGTATCTCTAATAGGCAAGAACTGCAGCCAAATGTTTCCAGGAATATTGCTGATTTTGTTCTTTCTTAAACCATTTATGTACAGCACACCATTATCATGTTTTATGAAGCCAAAATTCCAAGCTCATCTGGCTGCCTTTTTACATATCCAAAGTCACATATCACAGCCTATTATGTCCTTTATATTATGATAAACCTAAAACTAACCCAACTTTTTTCCCCCACCACAAACCCAAAGACCTGTAACATCTCTGAAATTTCCATTAATCAGTAATTTCGATTTCACTTCACTTCAACACTCAACAAAAAAGTGAAGAAGAAAATCTCAGGTATTTCACCATTCGAGATATAAAACATCAAATAAGCTTAGAAAAGAAACAAATACAGCAAGAAGCAATGAATTGTCTGCTAACCTTTGACATGATTGCTCCTGGGATTTTTGTGAAACATTTTCTATCAGCTGCCCATCCTATCATTATCCACTAAAAGTTAAGAAAAGAATACAAAATAAGAAACTTGGTAATTCTGAGAAATTACAATTCAAAACAGCTTACCTTAAATGCCTCTTCAAAAGCCCTATTTACCAAGACCTCCTCGTTAATTATTTTAAGATCATTAACACTGCCAAGCCATTAAAAGAAGAGAGAAAAATTCATATAACATCCAAACCAGATATCATCATTAAAGAATGCAAAGAACCACGACTAATTCTGAATACATTGTGAAAAATAAAAAAGAAAAAGCAAAACAAAACTGACCAAAATTCGTCATCAGATATCTCGAGCGAGTCCCAACCAATCTCTGCCTTGAGATTCTGCATCAAAAACAAATTCTTATAAGTTTGACTATGCAAATATCCCAAGGAATTTATATTCCTAAAATAAAAATAAAAAAGGATCACTAAAAAGAGCATTATTCAAAAATAATTAAAAAAATTAAAATTACTCTTGAAATTCACAATTAAATATATACATACAGTAAAAATTCCATAAAATCAATTATCACAGTGAAAAAACTCCTCAAAATCAACCTTAAAAAAGACTTTCTTCTGTAGATGGTTAAAATCAATTATCATAGTGAAACACTTAATCAAAAACAACCTTAAAAAAAAAAAATCTTTCTTCTGTAGATGGTTAAAATTGTTCCCCAATTCTTACTAGCAAATAATATTTCCATATTAGAAAAAGCTAAATAAAACCTTCAACAAGCCAAAATTTTCTTAGATACTTCAAAAATTAAAATACCCGTAGAAATTAGTAAAAAAGTAAATAAACAAATAAATAAATTTTTGTTTCCTTGGATACCTGAAGTTGTTCGAATACAGAGCTCTCAAACTCAGAAACCCGAGTGAGGCGCCCAAGCATATGGGGGCTATAGATAGGACCCCCGCAGGGAATTGAAATATATTGTTCGTCCCCGATGCTCAGGGATTCCGCCGCCGACATGGGAATAATTAGGGGCTTCCAACTGTATGTAGATGCTGAGAAATCAGGAAGTTATGTATGGCTATACACAATGGGCTGCCGGAGCAGGCCGATAAAGAGCGTAATGGTGGCGGTGGCCGGTGGGGGGTCTACGCGAGAAAGAAACAGAAAAGAAAAAAAAAAAGATGGTTTAGCTTCTCAGACTAATTCAAACATAGGAGATTTTTTTTTTTTTTTTAGTATTTTAAACTTTACTTCTATAAAGAGAAAATAGGGAGAAGGAAAGGCAAATAATTTCTTCGCGGTTGATTTGGAATGTAAAAAGTCCGAACCGTTTTCTTAACAACTAGAGGGGAGTACCCGCGCATCGCGCAAGTATTTAATATTTGTGGGGAAGGAGGTTTTTTTGTCGAACAAACAATAATATATTGTGAAAAGAAATAAAATTTAGTATAAAAAAATAAACGATATAATCAATCAATTCACACAGCGTTACAATAAAACTGTATCAAATTGAAGGTCGTTGATAATGCAGAAAAGAAGAGCAACACAAAAAGCTAACCTTATTCCAAAATCTTCACCGAGAGCTCTCTCTTGCTGTTGTTCCAAACCTATAAAATTATAACCAATCCAGACCAATTGGAGTTAGGCAATGCGAAAAATGCTATCTTGCAGTTAGACAATACGATAAAAGTCGCTAATTGTAGGTACTAAGAATACACTGACAAAATTAAGGGAGGAACTGAAAAATTGGGGGGGGTAAAATCTAACCTTACGCTGAACTACCAGGAGTAGTTGGAACTGAAGAGCGTTCTGAGCTAATTAGTATGAAGCCAGGTAGAATTATCCCAATTCTAGAATGTGAACAGGGAGAAACTGATAATCAATCGTTTAGGCATTAAGATACCAACAGTTCGGGAATTGAATTGGGTGTAATTAATGACGAAATAATAGGTAATTTCAGAGTTGAGTTCGGATGGAAGAGAAAACGATGAGGCAAATCGTTGTAGACAAAGGCAAAAAGGGAAACCTTAACTCTTGAAGCTGAAAGGGGATAAAATGACCAACGTTTGTAGCTCATAAATGCAGATTATAAATGATAGAGAAATAGGTTTCTACCATTGATAGAGAATTTGTTGGCTCATTTCCTAAATCCGATTACCATTCAAATGTTTCAGACAAAGCAACATCTCAAACGGTTATTTGCGGCTGAAAAGGGGAATTATTGGTAGTTAAGGGATATTCCGGTAATTACACCAACACACAAGCATATATGGGTTGTACAAAATGCAAAAACGGTTGCACACTAATTACACATTCCATCAATACCCAGATGCCTCATCAATGACAACTTTAAATGTATTAAAATGGGGTCATTTCAGTAAACATACCCAAATGCATGTTTCCTTAACTTGTACCTAAAGCTTTTAAACTAATACACAACATTTTACATTCCCAAAAAATCTCCACCTATACGGTTGAAATTCAACCTATTCTTTGACCAAAACTCAATTTTATATAGTATAAGGATTTGGAAAAAAGAAATTTTCAATTTTGTTTTTTTTTTGTTGGTAAGCTTGACTGGGGCTCAGGTGATGAAGTGAGAGAAAAGGCAAATTTTCTCTATTTTCAATTTTGTGCATCATAAAGACATCATACTAGTTTCTAAGCCGGCACCCACAGAGTTTATTGCCAAAATAACTCTTCTTTTGAAACATATACCTAGAGGTGGCAAAATAGACCGGATGCGCGGGATTTGCTTGTATTTGAGATGAATCGAGTCATATGGGTTTGGATCCAACCTTACTCATATGTGTTTTGGGACTAACTTGGACTGAATCATTTTAGAATGAGTTTAGATTAATTCCGCCCAATACCTAAATCTATTTTCTATATATTTTTTTTTCTTTAATTCATTTTTTATTTTTTTTATATAACTTTAATATTTTTGATTTATTAAATTTCTTTTAGTTTTATTAAATAAACATGCAAGTGCTTTATACTCAGGATTCCCACTAAAATTTGGATTAACAAATAAAGGAAAAAATAGATATACAACCATATTCCAACATATATCAGGATGGCCAAGGCACTTAAGGTGTTGAATATTTATCATCATCATTATCCAAGGATGACAGGTTTAAACTGACTGAAATGCTAAAAATTCTTGTGAATAATGACTATGAAGATTGTTAGATTATATTCACTGGTATGACTATAAAAATTGTTAAAGATAATTTTTGAATCTAATTTGAGCCCCATGGGTACCCAAGTATTTTCCAAAATTTCCCATCAATTAATGGGTATAATTGGGATTTGTCTCATTTTAAACCCAATATCAAATTCTAGTACCCAACCCGCCCAAAATCCCCATGGGCATGGGTAACCCATTAGGACTTGGGACAAATTGCCATCTCTACATATACCCAAAGTAACCTAATTTTAAAATTTATTACCTTTATAATTCTTTTTTTTCCATATAGGTTGCATATGTGGTAAGATAGAAATAGAGACACATTCTATCTCTCTTTCCCAACTAATATCTTTCCTGATTCCCTCTCTGAACCTTCCCACTTTTTTTTTCCTTTATTATTTTGTGTCCTTTCGTTATTTTTCCTTGTCAAATGTAATTGTTAAAAGCCAATATTTATATGAACAACATCTAAAACTTCATCATTCCTGATATTGTATCTATAGATGAAAATATTCTCCTTGAATTGATAATTTCAAGGTAAATGAAGATTATTCTCTTGTCTTTTCTATTGTGCAGTTTTTGAAACATTTCTATGGCCTTCAAAAAATTTTGAATACTAATTGCTTTAACAAATGATTTCTCATACCGTGTGTTTGATAAAATGTGTAAGAGGAAAACTACGTAACAACATAAATTCATGCTCAATATAAGCATGTCCATTTGTAGTGCCTCTTTATCACATAATCAAATAATCTCGTATGCTTGAAGTATTTTTGCACATTTATTCAACATCAATTAATGGCCTGTGCTACTTTTGAGAAACTTTAGCATTATCTTAATTGCAATAGTTTGATTACTTTTTGTAAAAAAAAATTTCAAGGAGTAGGAAGCATAACATAAACAAATATGATAGCCTTGAAGTTTTTGTAACTTTTTCTTGTTATTGCTTATAATGTTCATTGCAATTTTTGTATTTTGCAAATTTATTTTTGAAAAAATATATGCAATAAGTTTGATACATTTAAAAAAAAATTACAGAGAGCAATAATAGCAAGGTCAATAATGGTAAAATTTATTTTAAATAATTATAAGGAAATTATCAAAGTTATGCAATTTTCTTGTGCCTCTATAATAAAATAGTTTAAATTTTTAATTTTTATTGGAAACTATAAACTAGATTAAAGGTTTCCTTTCTTGTTATCCTACATGGCAATCAGGGTAATTAGGTGGCAACAATAACATCGATTTGGGAATAAATTTGAAAGTGAATCACATTGAGAATATTTTTTTAAAAAGAAGTGTTATTTTTGGCAAAAAAGTCCCACCCGCATGGTGTCTTTCTTTTATGGTTATATGTAACTTAGTTGAGAATAAACTCTCCTGCCCTCGAAAATCCTGTCTCATCTTGTGTGGTTGTCCACTAAATATATTTTTACTAAATGATTCTTTAGTTAATGAGTGTTGCTTTCGTATTCTAGTATCCGAGCTCATGAATTTTAGTTCAAACTAGACTTTATGTTCGCAAGAAATATGTAAAAATGGAGGTACACTTGTAACTCCTTCTTGTTTGAATATTAATGTGTGCGTTTATGCTGATTTTTTATTGTGAATTGTCTTGTTCTAAGATATTTTTATTTGCATGTTACTTTTTTTTGTATTAGTTGTGAAGTTCTTTAATAAGTTTCATATATATTTAGTAGTGGTAGACTGAAACTTAGTGAAGCATTATTCTATGTGTTGGTCATATAAGATTGGCATAGCTTTTGAAAAGTAAATCAAGAAAAGGATAAAAATAAATTAGCCTTGAAAATTCATGTCGATTATCAACGTACAATTCAAATTAGATAAGTTCCAATCTTTTAAAGAAAAGGATTATTAATACTATCACTTTACTTTAAATTGATATTTGACAGGACGTGAATAAAAACTTGTTCATATAGATTTTTTTTAACTGTAGTTAACTAGCCTTATTTCTTTTTTAATTCAAAGTTGAATTCAAGAAAATTCAGCCAATCATTTAATGCTTGGTACTACTGGTTCATTAAAGCTGCATTTGGATTGAGAAATTTAACAAAGGATTTGAAATCCTCTAAAATCTCTCTAGTTGTTTAGATTAATTAAAAGGTATTTGGATTTGTAAATCACTAATTATTTTGTTTAAAACGTAGTTATGTAATTGATGAATTACAAATTGTACGCGATAAAATTTCAAATCTGCAAAAAAACAAGAAATATACACGACAAATGTATAATATAAATTTAAGAAAATGTGTGAGTACAATCTCTGGGATTTTCTCGGATTTGTAGAGAGTTCCCCTCGATTCTCCTCCTCAAACGCTAATCCAGGGGCTTTGCAGCTTGCTCTTGGATCCACCACCGGCTCCTTCAAATCTTGAGATGGAAGATTCGAAGAACTTGAAAGATATTTTGAAGACTCAAGTCTTGATATATGGGAGACTCGAAGAGCTTGAAAACCCGGGCCTTTCGTGGCTTGGAGATTCAATACTTGAGCGTACGAGATGCCTTTGGATGTCTCGTGTGTCTTTAATTTGGTTGAAAGATCCCTATTAATAGTTGTAGCAAGATGTAGAGGTTGAAAACCTGTGTACTACTTTACTTGTCTTGCAAGATGTGCAGTCATATTAGGACTGTACCAGTCAAATATTATCTCTTCATTTTATATTTATTAATAAAGAGATAAGTAATTCCTCGATTGGCCAAACTTGTGGGGGCACGTGACGTGGCGCCATTTGACTGGCCAAATTATTGCAGCGTATAAGAAATATACTTGGATTAAACAACTCTAATTATTATCCCTTTAATAAGAAATAAATATTTAGATATCATATATATATATAATAAAGTCGTATTCTCATACTTATCCCTTCATATTTTCTCTTTCCTACGTGGCTTAACGAGACGGCAAGTAGTTTCCTACGTGGC